GAAGGCAGACGCTTAACCATCTGAGCCACCCAGGCGCCCAAATCCTTGAAGTTCTGATTCAAAAGGGTTCAGTCAACCCGAGGTCAGCCATCAGCTACAGTTAAGAACCTCTGCTCTGGCCTCCCATCCTCTCAAATTTCCTCTTTCCTCTGGCCTGGGCCTGCAGCTGGGCTCCTTCCTATCTCCTTGGAAGACTCTCCTATTATCTATCTGCGCTGCAACTAGGTGGTCTTGCTTTCCCTTCTCTTGTCCTTGCTCACATCACAAAGGAGGGAGAGTGGAGCAGGTAGGCTCAACCTATCATTAGCCAGACCATGTGGGAAGGGGCCAGGTGGCAAGCTTCAGGAAGGTAGCAAGTCAGGGAGTGCACACTCACTGTGTCCCCACAGAGCCCAGCCAGAGATTGGGATCCGGGGGATCTGGGAGCTGTTCACACAGCTCCACTCCTGGGCTCCCCTGTCTCCTAGAAAATACAAACCCTAGTTTCACACTTGAGAAAGAGCCCTGGAGCATTGTTGATGGGAAAGGGATGAGGAACTAATGGTGAAATATCAGTCACTGTGGTTTAGCAGTGGAGGGAGATGTGTGTCCCAGACCCCAGGCGTCTGGTCACAGTAGATACCTTAGGTAGCCGGGGAAGGCATGTGGTATATTTGTTCCAGCCGGTGCAGTTGTAAGGTCCCATCCTCCATGTGTTATACCGGTCATCACATAGGTAGTATGGGGTCCATTTGTCTATTTGATCATAGGGGTGGAAACACAAAACATTGTTACTCCTTATTCTACCCCAGGATCTGCATCCCCCTAGATGTTTCTCCTCTGATCCCCAGCACAAAGCTGGACTCTTACTAATATCCCTCAGGCCAGTCAAGCCCAGCCTGGCCCCAGATTTACACACTGAGATGCAGCCCATTCCTCACCTAGGGCAAGTTTCTGAGTGGGGTCTGGATCCTTGAGCTGATCACTTTGCATCCTGGGACCACCTCTGAATCAGCCTACCTGAAAATGGATCCTCTTCCTCTTTCCTCCCTCTCATTGTCCACATCCAGGGTCCAAAGTTTGCTTATTCTGCCTCCTTAAAATCACTGGAATCTAAACCCTCTTCTCATCCCCCATGATCTCACCGCTGTATCTCTGCAGTGCCGTAACGAGGAGACAATATCATGTCATGGTTAATAGAATGGACTTCACAGACATTTGGGGTTCAAATCTCAGCTCTGCCAAATAGCTCTGTATGATCTTGACTGAATTAATTTCACTGTGTCTTAATCTCCTCAATTTTAAAATGGGGGTAATAGTATCATCTACCTCATAGATTGATGTGAGATTTAAATGAGTTAATACATGTAAAACACTTAGAACAATGCCTGGCACATAGAAAACTATTACTACTATTGGCCTACTAACCGCCCTATCTCCTTTTGAAATTCTACAATCCAATCTCTACATAGGACCCAGGGATAGGGTCTAGGGGTTTAGGGATAGGACCCAGGCCTCTTCCAGTTCTATGTTTCACAAATGAAAATCTGACCAAGACACTTCCTTACTTAAAATCCTCCAAAGCCCCACCCACCCAGTCATCTAAGTCTGTCCTAAAGACCCTCCATGATCTACTACCCTAACAGTCTGAAAGAACACATGTGCAAGACACCAGGAAAGGAGGTCTAGGAGCCCTAGAGGAAGAGCAGGTGTATATATGTGTGGGGCAGGGTGTTGGGATTTGGAGTTCTGGATTGGTGAGTTGGACATATTAAGTTTGAGGTGTTTGGGGACATTCAGGTAAAGTTGACCATAATCAGATGGAGAGTGGAATTCTAGTGAGAGGTCAAGGGTAGAAATAAAGACTTAGAGTTGTCGGTTAAGACACTGGTTAGATAAAATGGTCTCAGGAGAAGAATAAGGAGAGAAAGGAGAGAAGAGAGCTCAGATTAGCACCCTGAGGAACCCCACATTTCCAGAATGGGGGAAAAAGAGACCTAGGAAACTGAGGCATCAGAGAAGCTGAGGAAGGAAGGAGTATCAAGAAATAGAGGGCGCCTGAGTGGTTCAGTCGGTTAAGCGTCTGCCTTCAGCTCAGGTCATGATCCCGGAGTCCCAGGATGGAGTCCCACATTGGGCTCCCTGCTCAGTGGGGAGTCTGCTTCTCCCTCTGCCCTTCACCCCTCTGTTGCTTTGTTGCTCTGTTGCTCTCTCTCTCTCCCAAATAAATAAATAAAATCTTAAAAAAAAAAAGGAGTGGTCAGAGCTTGAAATGCATAATGTGGGTCTCATTGATTGAAGAGTCCCTTGGATGCGGTAATTAGAACTACACAAGAGCAGTTTTAATGTTTGAATGTAGGAGATACAGACTCCCAATTTCAATTGGATAAATATTTATCATCAATTAATTCAATAAACACTTATGAGGCCTGGTTATACTAGATGCAGGGGCACAGCTGTGAATAAGAAAAGACTCT